CCCTTAAAGGGGAAAGGTTGCCTACCCCTGGTCTAGTGCTTTGAGTGTTGGAATATGTCTCTGGAGACAAGGGCTTGATTTCCTATTTGGCCATGAAACCCACTGGGTAACCTCAGGTGAGTAACACACTCTCAGCCCCAGAAAAAAACATATGATAGGCTTGTCTAAGGTTCACCATAAGTCAGAAATGACTTTAAGGCACACAAGAATAACAGATATCCTACAATACAAAAGCTAGTAGAGACTACCCTATTTAGGGGGAAGGATACATGGTCTACTACAGCCCAGGCTCATGTGTCATTCAGCACTTCCAGGAAAAGGCAATACCACAGGATTGCCTATCACAATGATGGAGAACATGTACAACTTTCTGGATGTTGCTGGAGTCCAACTAAAATCAGCACTAGACAGCATAACCAGATAGGAAGGATGATGAAATATGCAGTTCAGCAACATCTTTGCTCCTTAAGGCCCTTCAATCTTTGCTCACTGCTGGTGCAACAGCTTTCAGATCACTTGGGATACACCTACACTGCAGTAGCATCACTAGGGAGATGTGGGGGGTACGGACTGCAACCGATGATACCCTAAAGAGTGGGGGGGTGACACTACTGCTCCTCAAACATCTACCTTTTGGCAGAAATGGGATGTGGCATTCACCTGCTTCATTTTAAAATGCTTTAAGAAATGGTGGGAGTGGGCCAAAGTTCAGTAGGTGGAGAAAGGAGAGGCCCCAGAATTTTTTTAAAATTAAAATTTTCAAAATTCAACATTTTAAATTTTAATTTTAAAAAAATCTTTAAAAACATGATATTTTAACCAAATCTTCACTATGTATATGTAAATAAATTTAGGTTGTGTGTGTGATAATGTAATTTGAAGGTATAATTCTAATTTTGCTACTTGTTTATGTCACAGCTATTAGCATTGCATTCAATGGCATATGGGAATTACGATTTATGAGTATCATAGTGCAAAAAAGGATTACTAAGGATTCTGCATGGTGGAAATGGGAGGACGTCCATGGGAGATGACACCATGTGTTAACCCACCAAGTGACACCAACCCTAGTGACGCCACTGCTACACTGTAGAAATAATGCAGTTTGGCACCATTACTGCAAGGGCTCAGTGCTATGATACTCTGAAATTTATAGTTTTGTGAGATATTTAGCCTTCTCTGTCAGAGCCCTCTGGTGCCACAAGAAACTACAAATACCATGATTCCATGGGATGGAGCCATGACAGATAAAACAGTGTCAAACTGCTTTAATTCTGCAGTGTGGCAGCAGCCTTCGTTTTATGACAATCTTTGTCTTTAGTTCTCCTGTGTTATTTTTCTGCCTCTGTAGCCTTGTCCTTCTTGAGTCAAAGTCCCTTCTCTTCCTTCAGGCTCTTGTTAGTTACCTACCCTGGCCATAACTGCCATATATTTCAACTCTAAAAGTCTACCATTCAAACAAACTACCTGGGCAACAGACACTGCCCTAAATCTGATCACTGGCACAGGCAGCCAACTAGAGCAGGCCCACTGAATTTATGGGATTTTTACATTAGCGTTGACTTCTCATCCAGCAAT